CCGCTCTTATATATCCGGTATTTTAAACAGGTTTCTAAAATTTAAACAACGATCATGTCGAGTTCTATATTTAACATCTTTGGTCTATAATTAAAGTTACAGTATTTAGTCAAATATAACACTCCCTGGCTCGTAGGACTACCCCCCCCCCCCCCCCCCCCTACAGCTAGTATACCAGACGTATAGTGCCTTGGCACACAGTGCCTTACTGAAAAGGAGATCGCATAGATCCAATGGATCCTTAGCTGCTCCCTAGACTAGGTGACTATAGATAAGAAGATAGTACCTAATATAGTATCTCCTCTGTATAAAGAGTCTGCTGGAGATACAGAGTACTACTGGTGAAACAGTGTCACGTGAGATACAGAGTACTACTGGTGAAACATGATATTGTTGTTAAAACTAGTGGTAACTGAGACTCCGATACTCCCTAAATATAGTGTTAGTGTGTATTATAACATATTATCAGGCTCTCTCTCTCTTGCTCACCATGTACTGTCATTACATCATGGTATTATACACTGTGTTTAGACATTACGTCATGTGTTGATGTGTGGTATTGTTCACAAGGAGTGTAAAGTGCAAGTTTGGTGTAGCAGCTACTAGAATACTGAAGAATACTTAGTAACCTTGGTAACCTTAGTAACCTTAGTAACCTTAGTAACGACTGTAACGTGTCCGACAAGTAAGAATTTAATCGGAGGAGTATTTTTATTAACGTCATTTGCAAGAAAATTAGACCTTAAATTAATCTCAAAATGACGTCAAATACTCTGAAAGATTTAGGTCATTCCCCAGATGAAGATACCAGAATGAAGATTATTTGGAATTCTACAGGTTTAAATGTTGATTAATGTGGACATTCCAGATTAGAGCTGAATTCCTGAAACAATGACGTCATAAAGTGGTGACGTCATGAATCAATGACTTCATTCCATAAAATGACCTCATTCAAACACAGTTAACAACCTATGTGGAGAATGTGGTTTAATAAAATTAGAACTAGAAGTTGAACTGGAACTTCAATACAGGACTTGGTAATCCAACTAGACCTTCAGAAAGAGATAAAATGATGGACAATAATTTATTGTAAATTTGTTGTATTGCAGTATTATGTGATGGGATGGAAGTGCTCTAAGTCCACACCCTGGCTCCATAATAATATGTAGGATTTGTTTTAATTGAACTAAAAGCTGGAATGTAGAAGAATTAAACGTTGCTAGTCAGTAAAAATAAACCACTTTTCTGTAAAATAAACCCTCTTCTTTTCTGTAAAATAAACCTTCTTCTTTTCTATGGAATTGGACTAATTAAATAAAAGGTACAGCCAATTTTTAGTTTGACCATCTTTAATAAACAGGTGAACTTTACGATCACGTGACTTGATAAATTTGCTAAATATTTCAATACAATGGAATGTACTAATGGTATGTAGTATGTATAAATGAGCATGTACAGTGTAACTTTAGAGTATTGTGGAAGGAAAGATTATGATATATAAATATCTATTTTGCTTTACATAATGGTATGACGTTTAGTATATTCACTATTCACTGAATCACTAAAAGAATTTTCGTCGCCAACGCACAAAATTCCTAAACATTTTTTGACTTTAAAACGTAAAATTCATTATGAATTCTGTAAAACATTCCATCACCGTATTAATTATACACACGTCATTATTATCTATCTCTTTAAAACCAAGCTTAAAGCAGAGATACTCTAAAATACTGACGACTATTATATCATTGCTATTATAGATTGCATATTTAATAAAATATGCACATAAATTAATATAGATGCACAGTAACATGCACAGTATACAGTTTCTGATGATTTAAGAGCTGCACTACTCTAGTACTGAACTCCTCGTTTACAAATCTGAAGATGCTGTAAACATTCTTTAGTTGGACACTTTAGTTTCTAAGGAGTTCTTTCGTTCTAAAGATGTTGTTAGATCATGTTGTATAATGTTTCGGACGTTAATTTTCAGATGTGTCTGAACTATGGTCCATTGCAGGGTTACTAGCTGGCTTGCAAACACCATCTTGATCTGTACAACAGGATGTGTCCATTAATCCTATCATTCAGTTTGTGTTTGACGGAGCGTAAACTAGCCTTCAAATACGGCACAAACCTTATACTACAATATCTTTAAAACTTTTAAACTACACAGTTGCTGTGTAATATCCGGATCGAAGCATTATTATTATTCGTATTGTTGTATTGATTCTGGGGCAAAAATTTGTGTCCCGTTTATAAGGAAAAGAAAAAGGCTCTCATCAGGATAAGGACATGTCCACCGTATTCCATGATATAAAAAGGGGCACTACAAATGTCGCCCCAGAAGGGCCAGAATAATTACCTAGTATCACTATGGTCAACTGGTGGTGTACTCACCTTTAAGCTTGTCGAGAAAGCGACCAGCTCCAATTATAACTAACACTGTGGTGAAACTGTTTCACTTCCCGCTCCTATGTAAATTACAGAAATAAGGTTAGTTAAAACACCAGTGAAATTTGTATCTTTGTATGAAAATACGTTGGAAACACATTGAAATTTGTACCACCTCACCTTAGTGTATATCAATGAATTCAGTGCTAATATTATGAGACATCGTTCACAGACAGAAATAATGGGACAGACAGACAACAGACAAAGTACCAGCAGCTAAATACCCACTCAGTAACCATGGTAACTGGTGCCGCTAAATAAAACCAGACAGTAAGACAGGCAGATAAACGAACCTGTCAAAAAAGCTGGAGTATCCAGGTTAGTATAAGATTTGCACAGCTACAGGCAGATAAACGAACCTGTCCAAAAAGCTGGGAGTAATCGCTGGTTTAGTATAAGACTGCACAAATGAACATGGTAGTATCAGCTAGATAAACGAACCTGTCAAAAGCTGAGTATCCAGGTTAGTATAAGATCTGCACATGATACTATGGTAGTATCAGGCAGATAAACGAACCTGTCAAAAAGCTGAGTATCCAGTTAGTAGAAGAGCTGCCCATGATCATGTAGTATCAGCAGGATAAACGAACCTGTCAAAAAAGCTGGAGTATCCAGGTTAGTATAAGATCTGCACAGGATCTATGGTAGTATCAGCGTTCCTCGCAGCCTGAGCAATAATATAGTTTTGTAAATAACAATCACTAATACAAACTATATAAAACTGGTACAACTAGAGATGGGGATGTGGCCTGTGAATGTACGGCATTGTACGGAATGTACGGAATGTACGGCATTGTACGCACATTGTACGTGATTTTAGAGAAACTCTTTGTCTCTAAGATTACCTGTAACTGGTTTAGGTAAACACTGTTTTGCAAAGAACTGGCCGGTTCAGAGCATTACATTACTGAGTACATCTGATAAGCACAGAGGTTTATCAAAATGACACAAGCTAAGATTGTAGGAGTCCATATCTTGGGACAGAACATAATAATACAGGTTAATTTTATAGATAAATTCGATCAAATGATTCAGCTTCAAGGGAATTAATAAACGATTCGAACGATTAAACATACTCCATTAATTAAGTAATTAAGACACACTAATTATTAATGAGTAACTAATTAGTAACTAATTAAGTACTGACCATTAAACACACGTCATTAATTAAGACCCACTAATTAGTAACTAGTAATTAATTAGTAATTAGTAACTAATTAGTAATTAGTAACTAATTAAGTACCGACCATTAAACAGACCGTCGTTAATGAAGGGTTCCATCCTCCCTCCGTTATCTCCTCGGTATGGAGAGGTAATTCTGGTTGTCTCCCATCACTGCTACATTCCTCAGCATCTCCCCTGTGTACTGAAGAGAGAGAGTTAGTAATGGATAGTATCCTGTGTCTCCCATCACTGATTACTAGGTCTCCTAGCATCTACCCTGTGTATCTGAAGAGAGAGAGAGTTAGTAATGGAGGGGAGGTAGTCCTGTGTCCTCCCATCACTGCTACTATGTCACTAGCGATCTACCCTGTTACCTGATGAGAGAGAGAGAGAGAGTTAGTAATGGAGGAGGTAGTTCCTTGTCCTCCACACTGCTACTAGTCTCTAGCATCTACCCTGTGTACTGAAGAGAGAGAGAGTTAGTATGGAGGTGGTAGCCTGTGTCCTCCCTCACTGCTAACTAGTCTCTAGCATCTACTCTGTGCACTGAAGAGAGAGAGAGTTAGTAATGGAGGAGGTAAGTCCTGTGTCTCCCCATCACTGCTACTATGTCTCTACATCTACCCTGTGAAACTGAAGAGAGAAGAGTTATAAGGAGGAGGTAGTCCTGTGTCGCACATCACTTGCAACTATGTATCTAGCATTACCCTGTGTACTGAAGAGAGAGAGTTAGTAATGGAGGAGTAGTCCTGTGTCCTCCCATCCACTGCTACTATGTCCTCTAGCATCTACCTGTGTACTGACGAGATATAGAGTTAGTAATGAGAGGTAGTCCTGTGTCTCCCCTCACTGCTACTATGTCTCTAGCATCTACCCTGTTACTGAAGAGAGAGAGAGTTAGTAATGGAGATGGTAGGCCTTGTCTCCATCACTGCTACTATGTCTCTAAGCATCAACCCTGTGAACTGAAGAGAGAGAAAGAGGAGATTTAGTAATGGAGGAGGTAGTCCTGTGTCTCCCATCACTGCTACATGTCTCTAGCAATCTACCTGTGTACGAAGAGAGAGAGAGTTAGTAATGGAGAGGTAGTCTGTGTCTCCCATCAACTGCTACTCTGTATGCTTGCTGAGCATCTAATGGGCGCGTAGGAGGGGGGGGGGGAGAGGGGAGGGGGTTGGGGGGGGTAGTGGGAGAGAGAGTTATAATGGAGGAGGTAATTCCTGTCTGTGTCTCCCACACTGTTTTCTACTATGTCTCTAGCATCTACCCTGTGCACTGAAGAAGAGAGAGGTAGTAAGGAGAGTATCCTGGTCTCCCTCACTGCTACTATTCTCTACATCTACCCTGTGTACTGAAGAGAGAGAGAGTTAGTAATGGAGGAGGTAGTCCTGTGTCTCCCATCACTGCTACTATGTCTCTAGCATCTACCCTGTGTACTGAGAGAGAGAGAGTTAGTAATGGAGGAGGTAGTCCTGTGTCTCCCATCACTGCTACTATGTCTCTAGCATCTACCCTGTGCACTGAAAGAGAGAGTTTTTTTTTTTTTTTTTTTTTTTTTTTTTTTTTTTTTTTTTTTTTATTTTTTTTTTTTTTTTTTTTTTTTTTTTAAAAAAAAAAAAAAAATAAAAATATATATAAAAACACTCAGTCTCATGGGGTTCCGGTTTCAGAGGCCCTTACACTTTGTTTCTGTCTAGTTCTAATGTACCGTCACAATAATGACTTTAATATACATAACACGTCTCAGGGAGTTGGTACAGTTTTGTACTATTAGTCACTACTCACTACTCACATTGCATTTTCCGCTGGATAGCTCTGAGTTTCTACACTATTAGTCACTACTCACATTGCATTTTCCGCTGGATAGCTCTGAGTTTCTACACTATTAGTCACTACTAGGTACTATTAGTCACTACTCACATTGCATTTTCCGCTGGAACAGCTCTGAGTTTCTACACTATTAGTCACTACTATACTATTTATTCACTCTTCCACATTGCATTTTCCGCTGGATAGCTCTGAGTTTCAGGGCTGTTCTGTAGTCTGGCAGCTGTATAACTTGTAGCAGCTCTGAGGAGATTGATAAGATAAGAGATGAGATAAGAGAGAGGTAATGGGGTCTGCTAACACCAAATAGATAAGATATAAGTATTAAGTAATAGGTCTGCTAACACTGTTCTAAACCACTAAGATTACCACTAAGATTACCAAAGCACCAGATCTTGTGCCTAATCACACGAGCAGTACTATAATTATATAAGTGTGACCGGCCGGCAGCTAAAGAGCCATTGCAGGGCCTGCAGACCCGGACTAAAGCTACTTGAGCTGACTCGGGCGCAATGACGAGGAATGCCGGGGGGGATCACGAAGAGATAGATCCACGATACGATTTAAGATATCTGGCCAAACTCCAACAATATCACGTGATCACTTTAACTGATTTAATGTCGCGTTGTCTTTAAGGGGGCCGAAATTTTTTTACGATTTTTCCAGGTCTAAGATTTTCAAATCGAATAAAAAATTTTCTGAGGCCTACTCAAAATTCGGCTCGAATTGGTCTCTTTAAAAATATCCCTGAACATTAATAGCCGAAAGTTTTCAAGGTGATTGGCTCAAAACTGTAGGAGAAGATAGATTTTTAGACTCGATTTTCAGCGTGCGATTGAGAATCACACCACGCAATACAATTACACTGTATAAGCCTGACCTTTGACCGGCGATCATTTGGCTAGGAACAATATTTTTCATGGATCAAAAGCACTGATAGATTATCACGTCCCCTCTATCAGAAACACTAAAAAGTCCATTTCGAGAGAATTTTGATGAGACCCCCCCCCGGCCCCTTAACAGGAGATATTTATTCTAAGAAGGATGAAGTGTTTGACGACCAGACAATTAATGATTACAATGTTTTCAAACTGTTTTCTTCAGGTTGCATTCGGTTTTAACCCGGATATACAGTATCTGGCTGTGCTCCAACTACCTTTAGAGCCAACAATGACCACCACATTACCTTATTCAATATTCAGCACTACAATTACATCATCCCACACTGAGATGTGATCACTCAACAAATGTTTTTAAATCTACTCACCGAAAGCTTTTATGACTCCTTTGACTTTCGGATGCCCATATATGGTAAAGGCATCGTTAAAATTTGATAAAGAGTCTTCTTGGAGGGAAGTGAGTGATCCGAGGGATCTTCTGTTTAAGAGGTCAGCTATCATCGGAACAAGGGTATGTGGGTTCAGATCAGTTACATTGGTGGTCACTCAGATTGCATCATTTTGGGGTATTCATCGCTTCATGTTGGGCTAGAGGTGAGAGTTATATTTAGATTCAGTTTAATCTATGAAATGAAAGTCATATTTAATGGTTTTTGTTCAATTAACACGCGCATTTTTCTTTGTGATGGAATAATCTTTGAACTCAAATGGTTTAGAGTTTAAAGTGAACGCTTATAAAGTGGCTGAAGTATGATTCATAGTCCATACCACTTATAATAAGAAAGTCGGTTGATTGAAACACTGAAACAGAGAGCATAGCTAATAAAACTAAAAACAGGTTTTAGAATAAATTATAAATTTTCCTTCAGAAAAACAATATCCGAAATCTATTTAATTTTAACAATCCACGAAACATATTATGCTTAAATTCTTGGAATAACCGCAATAAATCTCTACAATACAATTACTAAACTCTAATCTTCAATACTACTTGAAAAACATCACTCAATCTTAATAAATTACTAAATCACACTTTGATTACTAACAAATTTTAGACTTATGGAATTCGACGCCTCCAGAACAATCAAGAACAATCAAGAAAAACAGAGGTGATATGAACTAAGTAGAATGATTATAAAATCTAAGACTAAACAATCATCGAACCTCAAATTAACAACTCTAAACCCAGATTAGAAACCTAAACTACTAAACTACTAAACTACTAAACTACTAAACTACTAAACTACTAAACTACTAAACTACTAAACTACTAAACTACTAAACTACTAAACTACTAAACTACTAAACTACTAAACACACAGCAAATAAAAGATATGAAAATCTACCCCTGCTTATAAAGTCCGATTAAGAAAATGTAGTACTAAGAATACCAGGTATATAGCATAGTTGTACTACTGTGCGACTTAACGCTGTCATATAATGTTTGCTATCAACACGATGTTATATTGAAGGTTCTTTTATATAAGGCGTATAAACGCCGTAGAAAATATGTGGAAAAAAGTTTGAAAACTTGGAGAGACTAACGACAAATGGAGCATGAACATAATTTAGCACGGACGGCGGGACAGGACCAGGGACGCAGACCCCCCAAAACCTTAAGTCAACAAGTCAAACCCTCATCATACTATCTATTATAGAACTAAATTTGCACGTTATTAATATTTCAACAGGCAATAAAATCCTGCCTACATTCATTAATCTATTAAAAAGGGAAGTTTTGTAAAGAAACCAAATAAAAAGTCACCACTAGTCTCAGCTAATCGAGAGACTATAAGCAGTCCTAAAACTCTCCTCTCCTCTAAAATTTCTCAATGATAACAGCAGACGCGCCTCCTCCGCCATTACAAATACCAGTTAGTCCCTTGTCTCCTGATTTCATGGTGTGTGCCATCGTGCCTATCAGTCGGGCTCCTGGGAAATAATATTTTACAAGGATTGCAAAGATTACATGCTAGAAGTTTTCAAAAAATATAATATTCGTATTATATAATAAAATGCAGTAAAAGGTTCAGTAAAATTCGTCGATTTCATAGTTGATGTGGGGTGGCGAAACTAAATCACCGATTCCAATGCTGCTGCTCTTTTACTGATATAAAGAACTGATTTCTTTTATATCAGATTTTCCGACACGATGTTAATTTCATTTAATTATTACTGTTTTAGAACGCAATTTTTATTATATAGTAGATACAACTTAAGTTCGACGTGTGTAAAATTGTAGTTTATATTGAAGAATATCTCGTCATACCTGGGCGTTTACATACTGCTCAATTACATATTAATATATTATAAAGAATAAAATGTAAGACCTGATAACTTGCCAAAAGGCTCCACTAAATGTGGTTAGAGGAAAAAGGTTTTAATTCACCAAAAGCGTCGGTCGCCCAACAACAATTCAACAATTGACGATTTCATGTAATATGATTATGTCAATTTTATTTGCAAATGCCCTTTCTTTACACACGTTCGTGTGCGGCACATTTCAAATTCAACTAACTCTCCAGTGCTCCTTGTCCTTAGTGCAAGTGAGCCTGAGTAGCTCACTAAAACCAGCTAACATGTCAAACATCTCACTTTTAAAGATCAGTTCCCTGTTTGTAATTGCCAATCAATAAATAAATATCAAAGGAAGGGTTATTTAGTTATTTACCTGAAGCTCCAATAGGATGACCAAGGGAAATAGCTCCTCCGTTAGGGTTGTATATCTCCGAAGGAATGTTCAACATCTGATATGAAATGAAATAATGTGCTTGTATAGTGTAATGTATAATGTATAGTATATTGTGCTTGTATAGTGTATACCGCCCATATGGTTAGCAACTGACACAAGTTTCAGGTACTAACCATGTCAGAGCGGTTCCTAAAGGTGAGGTAAAATTCTACAGAATAAAATAATAAAGTCGGCTCATTTCTACAAAGTCAAGTTTCTGTATTATAATCCAAGTACTTGTACAACTAACAAATGTGTCACTGTGTAGACTATTTAAAAAGCTAACTTAGACGGGAGATCTTACAACTGAACCATGAAATGGCTATCTAATCATCACCAACAACCAATCATTATCAAACTTTACAAAAATCTGAAGTAGTTAACGATACAATAAACATCCAAAACATCTTATAAGTCTATAAAGAAGATCGGTAAAACATACCAAATGGCAATAACTTAAATACTAAAAACATTAAACGTGTTTATACAACAACCAATTAGCTCACTAACACACCTGCTGGCAAGCTACAGCAACCACAGCAAAAGCCTCATTAACCTCCACTCTCTGGAGATCCTCTACACTAATACCCAGGTTCTCTAAACACAGCTCCATAGCACGCACTGGGGCGATGGGGAACTTTATGGGGGGTCCTGCACTGTCCGCCATTGCTGGGGGTTAATTATTATTAATTAGTTAATTATTATTAATTAACAATTAACTAATCAGTTAATTGTTATTAATTAACAATTAACCAATTACAAATATCTGACTTTAAGACAGTCTCAAAATATAATTGTATGATTCATCTTTAAAAACAACAAAATCATCCGATCTTAAGCAGGAATACAACTTTAAAAAGTTCGGTTTACCGAACTTTTTTAAAATCATTTTTTGGATAGATTTTTTATATAAAAAGAAGAGAAACCCGGACTTGTACTGACTGAGTATCTTAGCTAGAGGTTCCACCCCCAGTTTGTCCGCCATATCACGTGACATAAGTACACACGCAGCAGCCCCATCTGATAGTTTACTGCTGTTAGCTGCTGTAATAGTGCCTGCTTTGTCAAACACTGTCCTAAGTGTCGGGATCTTATCAAACTTTACCTGGGGGTTTTAGGGTTGGAGATACGTCCAGTATAAACTAAATAATATAGTATTAAGTGTGGCAAGTCTTCCTTAGCAGCAAGTCTTCTCTCAATGTGACAATGAGCGGCCATATTGAAGGTCACATGTGAAGGTCACATGTGACTCTTCACCTCTCGAACTCACATTAGCATACTCGGTGTCATCGGTGACAGTAAGGTCAGGGTTCTTCCTGTTGGGGGTAGGGACTGACACTATTTCTGCTCTTAGTACTCCACTCTGAGGGTTATATTTAATAAGTCACAGAGTTGTAATTAACTAATTAATTAATTATTCATACTTAGACTGGTATAACTACTAACTAGGCTGTATTCTTGAGTGGCATTGTTCGAACTGCAATGGAAATATCCAGCCAAATATCCATCCATCAAAACCTTGACGGTGATAGAATATTTCCTTGTTTTTAACTTACCTGATAGAATATTCCCTTGTTTTTAACTTACCTGATAAAATATTTCCTTGTGTTTACCTGATAGAATATTCCTTTGTTTTTACCTGATAGAATATTCCCTTGTGTTTACCTGATAGAATATTCCCTTGTGTTTACCTGATAAGATATTTCCTTGTGTTTACCTGATAAAATATTCCCTTGTGTTTACCTGATAGAATATTTCCTTGTTTTTACCTGATAGAATATTCCCTTGTGTTTACCTGATAGAATATTCCCTTGTGTTTACCTGATAAGATATTTCCTTGTGTTTACCTGATAAAATATTCCCTTGTGTTTACCTGATAGAATATTTCCTTGTTTTTACCTGATAGAATATTCCCTTGTGTTTACCTGATAAGATATTTCCTTGTGTTTACCTGATAAAATATTTCCTTGTGTTTACCTGATAAGCAGCTGCAGCAGTGTTGTAACTCCTCACAGTATACTCGTCCTGTGTGTCACGTGATATGGACATGGTACTTGCTGTGTCCTCTCCGCAGTGTCCCATGTGTAGTCCGGGTGTGTACGCGTCCGTCAGTCCGTCGTGTAGTATACCGTCCTGGGTAGAGGGAATTAGAATTAGCACAGCTATAATACATGTAGTAAATAGTTTAAAGACGCTTCAATCTGCTGGACATTCAAATCTGTCTTTAGTTCGGATAATCCGTTATCTTTACTTAGTCTTGCTATCTTCACTTACTTGGGCATAATCTGAAGTTTATAAATATTCTACAGCTTACACTCTTGTCTCCTACTACTCTTGTATATAAATTGTTTACACTCTTGTATACCAATTTCTCCTACTAAACTAAGGTAAATCAATGGGTATGAGTCATAACTCAAAAGTAGAAAGTTCCTTACTACATCTCACATTTAGAAATACCTGGAGAATAGGTAATCAAACACTACGTCATGTTAGAAGGTGAGAACATCAGTATGATTAACTAACTCATTGCGGTGGAGAATGCTGTCTATATAATATTTTATATCACAAATTATCATTGTAGTACGATCTCTAGATTAGATCTTTAGACTAGTTCATGTACTCAGAAGAATACTGACGAGGGTTATTATTAAGTGCATCTTGTTGGTATAATGGTATATAATATATACAATATATTATAATAGGTTTTCGTTTTTGAGCCTAAGTTTGACACGTGAATTTCACTTGTAAGCACATCGCGTGCCAACCAACAAGCTGAATCACGTACAATGTACATTAACAAGCTAAATCACCTATGTTTGTCTACTACCAACAAATTCACGTGACTACCATTACTCATACATGTTAGTTGTGTAGTTGTTTACTGTACATGTAAACAATGTGTATCATGTTATGCTGCTCAAATATATAGAGATGAGGTAATAGTTCTGTTTATTGGTCGGTTTGTGCAGACATGCAGACATTGCTAATTAGTTAGGGCAAGAGTTGATTTTTCTGTGAACAAATTCGTAACAAAGGTTTGTCTACAGGAATGTGTTGTCCATAGTCCCAGGAACCACCAAAAAAAACCGTCCAGCTGAAACTTTTGGGCAAAAATTTTTATAGTCATTTTTCTCCAGGAACCCATATGCCCCACCCCTAATATTGGTTATTCGGCTCCCGAAGGTTTTGAGATCTCCATAGGGGGTGCAAAATGACCGCAATAGCCACATTATGGCAGGCGAATGATAGTTTCAGAACGATTGGAGCTTTATTTTTCGAAATAAATGGAATTTTTCGAAATTTTTCTCAATTTTATTGAAATTTCGAAAAAAATACACCAAATTATTTTTAACGCTTATTTCAAATCTTACTCGGGAAATAACTTCAATTAACAAATATCAAGGTTAACTAACAAACAACAGATTATTGACCAACCCCCAGACAGCTATTCGACGGTACATACTACTCTGGCTGAATGTCTTAAGTTATCCTACAGTGAGCCGATGATAATCACATTCGATTTGCCATTGTGGATTAAGGCCACCCAAATAGTACTGGAAACTGGGATGTCTATTGTGGTCAGGGTTGGGGGCTTCCACACTCTCACGAGTTTTCTAGGCTGCATAGGCTATATAATGGCAGACTCGGGTTTAGAGGAGCTCATCAAACTCGTGTATCCTGGAGACGTCACGCATATATCGGATGGAGGATCTTACTATAAAGCGTTGAGAGCCCACTTTCTGATCGACGCCGCTCTTTGTTGTTTCATTATAGAGGAAGAAGTTTACGACGATGAACTAGTAAACTTGGAAGGTTACATCAACAAATGTGTGAACGAAAATCTAGGTGTTAACTTTAAGACTAAATCTATTCAGGATCTATCAGAGAAAATAACTCTGCTTCTAAAGAACCTGTTTTCCAACAGTAGAACAGCAGCTCTATGGGTTACTTACCACAACATGATAACACTAGTAAAGGACTTCATAAGAGCAAAGAGGTTGCACGACTACACTATGCATTTATCAGCAGTAGCTTTGATGCTGCCCTACTTCTCTACTTCGCAGCAGCTGGGAGGGGACAGTATGCAAAAGCTTTAAGACTGTATTTGGAGCAGGATGCTATTTTTAAAGTCAAGTTAATATCTTTTTCGACTGGTCTTATATCACAGCCTGGGAACGATGAGGTGAATCCCGAGGAATGTTTGGCCGTTGGGGCTGTCCTTCAACGTGAGCTAGATGGGTTGACATTCATCGATAAGATAAGTATCAAATGTAAAGCAAAGAACTTATGACACAACTAAGAAAGCAGGTTAAAGTGAATAATAAAAGCGTTGCAGTCGATCCGTTGAAGTGTTTTAACCGTCTAGTCTTGGTTGCTGATAGAGAGACTTCAATAGAGGAATGCCTAACATACGAGTTAACTGTGGTGCCGATGAGCTTATTTGATCAATATCAGATGATGAGGAAATCTAATAAGGCTGCTCTTGGTATAAAGGGGGGGGGGGGGATCATGTTTTTTGTTCGTTCGGTACCCTATATTTTCAAAACGGACAAAAAATAGAGCGGACAAAAACGGACAAAAAGTCCTCTCCTCCTCCTTCTCCTCAGTCTTCTTCCTCCTCCTCCTCTTCCTCCCTCTCAGTCCTCCCCCTCAGTCATCCTCCTCAGCCATCCTCCTCAGTCCTCCTCAGCCCTCCTACTCCTCCTCGGTCCTCCCCCTCCTCCTCAATCGTCCTCAGTCCTCCTCATCTTCCTCCTCCTCTTCATCCTCCTCCTCTTCCTCCTCAGTCCTCAGTCCTCCTCCTCAGTCCTCTTCCCCATCCTTCTCCTTAGTTCTCCTCCTCCTCAGTCCTCCTCAGTCCTCCTCCTCAGTCCTCCCCCAGTCCCCCTCCTCCTCCTCCTATTTAGTCCTCCTCCTCCCCAGTTCTCCTCAGTTCTCCTTCTTCTAAGTCGTCCTCAGTCCTCCTCCTCCTCCTCCTCCCCCTCAGTCCTCCTCCTAGGTCCTCCTCCTTCTCCTTCTCAACCTCCTCCTCCTCCCTTTCAGTCATCCTCCTCAGCCATCCTCCTCAGTCGTCTTTAGTCCTCATCCTCCTTCTCAGTCCTCCTCCTCATCCTTCTTCTTAGTCCTCATCCTCCTCAGTCCTCCTCAGTCCTCCTCCTCCTCCTCCTTCCTGATCCCTCTCCAGAGTCTATTAGGAAACCTTACATGTTGTAACTGTTCTGTCGATGTGGAACAGGCCTGTTTGACTTTCAGATGTTCATGTAGGAAATATGGCTTCAATTGTTTGCCAGCTTGTGGACGATGCCATGGTATGAACTGCACAAACATTAGACATGATGAACCTGAAGAACAAGCGAATTTTGATTAATATTAACTGTGTATTAATAATTGTCATGGTATTTACTGAGAATACACATTTTAGATTAACTGTATTTGTTATTTGTAGATGAGTTTTTAAATAGATTTGAAATAAGCGTTAAAAATAATTTGGTGTATTTTTTTTCGAAATTTCAATAAAATTGAGAAAAATTGAGAAAAATTCCATTTATTTCGAAAAATAAAGCTCCAATCGTTCTGAAACTATCATTCGCCTGCCATAATGTGGCCATTGCGGTCATTTTGCACCCCCTATGGAGATCTCAAAACCTTCGGGAGCCGAATAACCAATATTAGGGGTGGGGCGTATGGGTTCCTGGAGAAAAATGACTATAAAAATTTTTGCCCAAAAGTTTCAGCTGGACGGTTTTTTTTTGTGGTTCCTGGGACTATGGACAACACATTCCTGTAGACAAACCTTTGTTACGAATTTGTTCACAGATTGACCCATAAACAGCAATTCTTGCCCTAACTAAATGTGATCACGTTACATGCCCTTATATGGGTGTAACGTGACATTTCCAGTGTTTACATGACACTTCTAGACTATTTAGTCTTATGGGAACCTTTGCATGGTAGAGCACAGCAACACAGTGGGCTGTGAGTGGGGGTCATGCTAGCATAGGGTATTTTAGACCATCACACATGCCCCTAACTTTGTTTCTAAGGTAATTTGGGTACAAAAATACGATTCCAATCATTTACAGGGCCGAAAATGTCTCAGAAAAAATTTTTGGGCCGATTTTAAGCAATCTTGTAGTCCAAAAATAGGAGGCTGATCCCAGGAAAAGTTGTTTTTTTAGAGGTTTAATCAATTTTAAAGCTCTTTTATGAACTGTAAACGAAGGAAGCTATCTTAGGAACTCAAATCTTTTTGAATTATGAAAAAATATTGATCAGAACAAAAGTTGTGCCCATTTATATGACCAAAATTTTCTGAAACACCAAAATTGTTCCTGTTATTTTCAAAAATTTCGTTTAAAATCACGATTTTTTGGATTTTTATCAATTTTAACTATAATAATTGTGATATTTTGATTTTTCATCCATATGCATCTGGTCTAGGATGCAAAAAATGCCACAAACATGGAGAATAACTAAAATATGTCAATTTAATAGCAAAATTGAGCTCATAAATTATCTAAAAATGCAGCAAATTTTACCCAATTTTTGAGTTTCTTAATTTTGTAAACAGAGGTGCCCAAAAGTTCCCAAAGTGATTCTTATTGCATCTGATAGGGAATTGTCTAAGCTTTCTGATGATACCATGCATTATACCGAACTATTGCAAACCAACAACGATTTCTGTCGTTAAATACCCCAAAAATTGCCTAAAATACACGCCATAAAAAAGGCGCGGTCAAAAATCAGGTGAAAATGTTAAAGTCACACAGTTTTTTTTAGATGGCTGAGTATTCTTAAGTACTATACTGTATTTCAATTATTAAAAACTGCCTTGATCAGGCATTTTAGCCCAAAATAATAAATATTAGGCAATTTTTGGCTAAAAAAGGCAAAATTTCTTGACAGTGAAAAATGCTATTTTTTCACGCGACGCCATTTTGGCATCTTGCAAAGTTTTTAATTACGGTTTTTTGCATGAAATCGGGCTAGCGTTTTACAATAAGGAAAGCTTATTTTCAAAGAAATTTAAGAAAGTCAATTTTAGGCCTATGCTAGCATGGTAGCCCACTGTGAGCAAGGCTGACCGAGACAAAGCTATTTGTCTATGATACAGAGGGAAGTTTAAACTCTAAAGTTGAACTGCAGGACAGGGATATATTGAGGGGTTATCGGACTTAGTTCCGACCTAGTAGTAGTAGTACATTGCCAGTGTTTACGTGACACATTCACACGTACTATTCACCTTTACAACTCTGTTTCCGTAAACAGGTGCAGTTCTGTTTTCAAACATTGGAACATTAGACATACTCTCCATACCTCCAGCTACCATGATATCCTGAAAATATAACAATTATATTATATTTCGTGTATTCCAGCTGTACTAAGATGAATGGGAATTTAGCATAGACTCATCTTCCACCTCAAATGTTTTTAACTTAAAGCAATTTCTTTATTCACACGAACAACTGAATAACATAACATCAGCTAATCCAACTTTTAATATACTTTAAAAACGAAACTTTTCCTCAAAAATATTCCCTTGTGTTCAACATACCCTAGCTCCACAAGCAATAGATTGAGCTGCCAACATGATACTCTTCATCCCAGAGGCACACACTTTGTTAATAGTAGTACAAGGGGTCGTGTCCAGACATCCAGCTCCTGAGAGGTAAGTAAGTAAGTAAGTAAGTCTGTAAGTAAGTATTTTAGTAAGTAAGTCAGTAAGTAAGTCTGTAAGTAAGTTTGTAAGTAAGTAAGTAAGTAAGTATTTAAGTAAACCTGTAAGTAAATATGTAAGTAAGTAAGTAAGTAAGTCTGTAAGTAAGTATTTTAGTAAGTAAGTCAGTAAGTAAGTCTGTAAGTAAGTTTGTAAGTAACTAAGTTAGTAAGTATTTAAGTAAACCCGTAAGTAAATATGTAAGTAAGTAAGTAAGTAAGTCTGTAAGTAAGTATGTGAGTAAGTATGTGAGTAAGTCTGTAAGTTTGTAAGTAAGTCTGTTAGTAAGTCTGTAAGTTAGTAAGTTAGTCTGGTAGTAAGCCTAAAGTAGTGTTCTGTATATTGTTCAAAATTGAGGCTCAAATTGGGACACTTAGCACACGACAGAAATGTTAGTAAGATAATGCTGAATAACCGCACTGAGTAAGTGTGATATTATGTTGACATAACGAAATTTCAACATAATATCACCAGGAATAAAACATTTCAGGATTTTTTTTAACACAAAAAAAACTATAGAATTTTAACAATTTTAAATGTATGAATAACAAAATAAGAGAAGTAGGTACCAAGTGCAGCTTGTCTAGCAGGAGCTTGTCCCATCCCTGCTGAGAGCACATTACCCATGTACACCTCCTCTATCTGCTCCGGAGTGATCCCGGCACGCTCTACTGCTGAACTTATTGTTATACTTCCTGGGGAGATAAGAGGAGTTAATATTGTACCTGTAGCTGTGTTTTGATATATCTTTGCTATTGTTTATATATCCAGTAACATCTAAGTATCGAACTAAAGTTTAAAAATGATTCAGATTATTGATAGTTAAACCTACATTAATAACAATAATAACACTATTAATATTAATTATAAAATAACGCACCCAGTTTAATAATAACACTATTAATATTAATTATAAAATAACGCACCCAGTTTGGTAGCAGGAAGGTCTTTAAGTGGGCCCATAAAGCTCCCAAAGGGTGTTCTGGCTGCGCTTACAATAACCACCTCCTGAGATAGCGCATGTTACAAGAGTTACACACATAGCGCATGTTTATTTCTTCTTACTAACTTTCTCATTGTTCGGTCTTAGTGAATTATTCAGGTTCAGAGTGAATGAAACTTTAATTATAAAATAATCATACGAAAGAAATAGATTTTGATAATTTAATAGTAAAATGTTCAATAGAGTACCTATATATTATTATGAAAGAAATAGATTGTAAAATGTTGAACACATGTTGAACACATGTTGAACACATGTTGAACACATGTTGAACACATGTTGAACACATGTTGAACACATGTTGAACACATGTTGAACACGTGTTGAACACATGTTGAACACATGTTGAACACATGTTGAACACATGTTGAACACATGTTGAACACATGTTGAACACATGTTGAACACATGTTGAACACATGTTGAACACATGTTGAACACATGTTGAACACATGTTGAACACATGTTGAACACGTGTTGAACACATGTTGAACACATGTTGAACACATGTTGAACACATGTTGAACACATGTTGAACACATGTTGAACACATGTTGAACACGTGTTGAACACATGTTGAACACATGTTGAACACATGTTGAACACGTGTTGAACACATGTTGAACACATGTTGAACACATGTTGAACACATGTTGAACACATGTTGAACACATGTTGAACACATGTTGAACACATGTTGAACACATGTTGAACACGTGTTGAACATATGTTGAACACATGTTGAACACGTGTTGAACACGTGATGTGGACTCACTGCTCACCCTGAGGCTACTTGAAGACTTAAAGCCTCTTGTACAGATCCTCTTCATGGAATGTGGGCCCAGCACGCAACGCATTACTACAAGCTCTAAAAGTGGAGAGTTAATTTCATATTACATATTGGCAGTATAATAAACCGATTGATAAACTTCTACCGAGGAACTAACAAACCAATTTCTTAGGAAAATATCAGATTTTATTTTATGATTGTGAAGAGTTATTTTAGCACAGCAAACTCTTATTTTTAGAGAATGAGAAAACACAGGAAAACAAACAAATTTTCTGAACAATTTCTTTTATACAACAAATCGTCTTGATAATTGCTGTTTACTCTAGTAGCAGTGTGTAACTACACCCTGCTACTAGAGTAGTTACACAAGTAATTTATTACATAATTATTTGGACGATAATTTTCATATAATACAGTTAATGACCAATTTTATTTTAATGCTTAACATAATATCAAGCAGAAACTCTTTATTGTTACAAGCTCTACTCAACAAACAAAAAACATTTAAGGATATTAAATTTTAAACATTTGTTACTACCTGAGCTCAGTAGTCAGTAGGATTTACATTTTTGCAGGTGTCTTATTAAAGATGTCTGGTACTAGAAAACGATTTTAAACATAATCAGAATACTTTTAATATCTGAAATCTTATTCACCTATTATATTTTACAAAATCATTTTACAATCAAACTATGCATTGCGCGCTGGAATACAACTAAAATGACATCAGCCTTAGTAATAATAATTGTATCATAAGTAAGAGAGCAGCTGATCTATTAAATGTAAATTATAATTATATGTAAGATAAGCTATATCTAGAAATAGGTAATAATAAATATTCATAATTATGAACCTATGGTAATTACAAAGTGGAGCAAAATTATTAATTTAACTCAGAAAGTTTATCGTGGAACACTGAAAATATGATATCCATATTTAATTATTCATATTTAAAACTGTTCTTTTGTTCAAGACCAGCATGTTAAAACATATCTTCAAATCTTTTACTCCAGTAGCAGGGAGGTGTTGAGTGTGCACTTCGATGTACAGAGTTTTTTGCTATTGAATCGGGTTAAATAGGTCATTGGTAACTCAAATCACCGAGGGGGGAATTTTGTGTCGCTAGCCCCAACCCTGTGGAGCCACGCCCATATTTCATATCAGGTGCGTATATGGGAAATATGTATCTCAGCTTCTGAAGGTCTTAGAGACTCAAATTTGAGTTTAAAATGACCGTAATACTCATGTTTATATTAGTACTATGAAGGTCATGAAAGCCCAAAATGCTTATTTTTGGAAAAAATTCAGAAAAACCGATTTTCACTTGAGCGTGAGTAAAAAAATCTACTCTAGAAATTTAGTGAAAATCGAGTAAGCAGTTCAGTGTCTACAAGATTTCTAAACACAGGGTCCTCTGTTAGGTCATTCTGAATTAGAATTGATAAAGTAAGCAAATTCTATAAGTAGTTTCAACCCTGTGGAGCCACGCCCATATTTCATATCAGGTGCGTATATGGGAAATATGTATCTCAGCTTCTGAAGGTCTTAGAGACTCAAACTTGACTTTAAAATGACCGTAATACACATGTTTATATTAGTACTATGAAGGTCATGAAAGCCCAAAATGCTTATTTTTGGACAAAATTCAGAAAAACTGATTTTCACAAGCAAAAAATCTACTCTAGAAGTTAAGTGAAATCGAGTGTAAAGTTCAGTGTCTACAACGTTTCTAAACATAGGATCCTTTGTAAGATCATTCTGAATCAGAATTGATTAGGTATGCAAATTCTATTAGTAGTTTTAACCCTAGGGTGCAAAACTCCTAAATTACCCCCAGGCGCAAATATATGACTTTTCTATCTCGGCTTCTGAACGTTGTAGGGGCCTCTCTTTGAGCTCAAACTAACTACAATGGCCACATTTATATACCGACTATAAAGCACAAAGCAACTTAGGGTCTATACAGCTTAGTTTTTAGAAATTCATTAAAAACTTTTTTAACCTTCATGCATCATCTCTAGTCTCTACCCAGCTACCACCAGTGCGTTATGATTTTAGATCTTTCTAGCAACCTCTGATATGAATGCTACCTCTTCCTCTATCCAGCTACTATACCACCAATTCCAGCTGTTTTCACCTACTTCGGCTACTATCTCTTTAGCTACCACCAAGGTTCCTCCAACTTCTGCTATTTCTAGCAATCTTAGCTTAAGTTAGTGGACTACTTCTTGCCCTATCTAGCAACCATCAGAAAAATGTCCTCTTCCTTAATGAGCTGGAAATTGTTGGATGCAGCGGAGGTAGCACTCATATCAGAGGTTATAAGATCTAAAATTATAACGTATGGTGGTAGCTGGGTAGAGTTGACCTGGAGTTAGCAGAAGGCAGCTAGAAGTAGATTCTGCTACATGAGGTTGGATTCAAGTTGATTAGCCATAAAAGCCGAGCAGTACTGGAGAGAGCCCCAGAGAGGGAGCTGAAGGCAGCCTTCTGAAACTGAGTATTTTCGCAGTTATACCAAAATTAAAGTTGGGTGGTATGTGCTGCTCCATAAATGTTATCCTAATGTGTTTATGTTGAACGTTTTACTGTGCTGCAAATATCTTTTTAGCCCGAGATATCATTATTAAGTACATGTTTGATCATATTACTATTTTATGATGCATGAAGGTTAAAACAGTTTTTAATGAATTTCTATAAACTAAGCTATATAGACCCTATGTTGCTTTATAGTCGGTATATAAATGTGGCCATTATAGTTAGTTTGAGCTCAAAGAGAGGCCCCTACAACGTTCAGAAGCCGAGATAGAAAAGTCATATATTTGCGCCTGGGGGTAATTTAGGAGTTTTGCACCCTAGGGTTCTCTCTCTCTGTTCTGGTCAACGGTTTCTGGCCTCTTACTAAAAGATGGAGGCCTTCTCACCGTGCCCACAGAATGCAACTCCTGCTAGCTGCACGCCAGGACTCCCAAAGTATATACGTAATCATAAAATAATAAATATCAATGCAACAGACCCCTGGAGTCTTGAAGCTGTCACTACCTGTCTCAGAGCAAACCCACTTCCGTTGTAGTACTTCTGCGGGCAGACAAGGGACTTCCGAGCAAGGTCAAAGCCTGTGAGATATGTCTCTATGCAGAGATGGGCCTAGGTTGAGTTCCTAGTATGGGATTTAGCGAAAGTTCCTGGCGAAGAATCCTAGGAGGTTACCCAAAAGGGTTTTCCCTATCCAGTCTTGTCGACTGTTCCACAAATTTGAAGATACGATTGTAGTTTACTGTTTTTAAGGTAGAGTTTACCAATTATCCTCATTCTGAACGTCATGATCTGGATGCACTTGCAAAGGAGGTGCTGGGATGTTTCTGCTTCTCCTGAAAAGTGTTCACAATCTTGCGTCTCGAAGTTGACGTTGTTTGCCACGTTCTGAAAATAAACTAGTGGGCTGTGACCTATCCTGAAAGCGACCATGTAAGCCATCTGATGTGAGTTCCAGAAAAATTAAAGTTCCTGTATTTATATTTGTGGAGGAACATCTCAAGTGGAATGTTCCTTTGTCACTGAGTGTGGCCTAATAGGGAGGAAGGTTGTTGGATTGATCGTCCCTTGCGAATTCGTCCGCTAGTTCTTTACCGTATACTCCTTCATGTCCTGGAGTTCTACTCGATGAGAATACCTAGTGAGTTGAGTTGGTCTGAGATGTTCAGAACAAACCTGGAGTTAAAACTGGTGCTGTTAAGCGCTTTAAGTGCAGCCTGGGAATCTGAGATCCTAAGTTATCATTAGTCCAGATACTTGCCATGTATAACGCAAATAGCGGGTACAATTTCCTCAATGAACCTGAAGAAGGAATATCTGTCCTGAAATGATACCATGTATCGTCGAGCTAAAAAATGAATCAAAAGTTCGAGTAAATCGATAAACGTTGTATGTCCTATTTGCATCCCCTAAGCATTGCAATGATGTTTATTCCTGGTCCGGTTAGCTTTGCGTCACAGAACTAAAGAAGTCCACTATGCTTTAGTGAGCTATGCTGTCCACCAGGGTACTGTAGATCTAAGGGTTCCCCGTGTAATGGGGCAGGCTGTGAAAAAGCATCTCTGCAGGATGTCCGAGATGAACTGTTTTCGAGTGTTGAGAACTTCCGCTGTAGAACTGAATAGAACCAGTTGCAGTAGGGGTGTCAGTCAAACACTGCTGGCTACTAGATGATTGTAGAGCGTCCAGTCACACTTCAATAAAGAGTGTGGCAAAGCTAACCCGGTCCCCTGAAAAGTGGTTACTGGAGGAAGAAGTGCCAGGAATTCTCGCTATCAGTGTGTCCTCGTAGTCAGAGTTGACATCCCTAACACTGTCTTATCACGAGCCTGTGTCTAGCGTGTGTCAGCCCTAACGCATTAGCTGTCTTAACTGAAAAGACCTGAAAAGTGGTTACTGGAGGGAGAAGTGCCAAGACTACTCATTATCAGTGTGTCCTTGTAGTCAGGATGAGCGAATTGGGATCCCTAGCTCTGTGGTGGGTGACTTCGATGGGACCTGAAAGCTGAAAGAGAATTTCCTGGTGATTTAATAGCTCTTAGAGCTATGTATCTGTGTCTAACGTATCGTCGTTTGTGTGTGTACTATCTTGTAACCTGATATCTGAAAGAGAAATTTCCTGGTGCTTGGTAGCTGTTAGTGTTGACTTCCTGGTTCCTATGGGAACTTTGAGTTGGCAAGTCCCAACCTTTGTACTCAACAAGAGAGCACACCACCCGTTAGTGCCAACCAGGCCACACCACGTGGAGGTTCGGAGAGGATTTCGTGACCCGCACCCTAGGGTTAAAACTACTAATAGAATTTGCATACCTAATCAATTCTGATTCAGAATGATCTTACAAAGGATCCTATGTTTAGAAACGTTGTAGACACTGCACTTTACACTCGATTTCACTTAACTTCTAGAGTAGATTTTTTGCTTGTGAAAATCAGTTTTTCTGAATTTTGTCCAAAAATAAGCATTTTGGGCTTTCATGACCTTCATAGTACTAATATAAACATGTGTATTACGGTCATTTTAAAGTCAAGTTTGAGTC